ATTGTGAAATTTTCTCGTAGTTCATAATTTGAGCAAACAGATGCTAAGGTGAGGAATAGAAAGGCAAGTAGCATTTCTCAGATTGCTCTCATAGCTTCCAACTTTTTTGAGTTAAGCCAAAATGATTTTAGTGATATTTTGTTTTAGAATCGTTTAGATCTTTTAGAATATGATCTTTTATCATGGTTTGTTTTGGATTGTTCGATTGGATGTAACCATTGAAATCGCGTGTTTACGTGAATATTTGTTTGATTGTTCTGTTGCTATTGTTGTTTACGTGATTATTCTGTGTTGCTCTTGTGATTACTTCGTGTTTTGAAGCCTTCATCGCATTGTTCATCCTCTCAATCGTTCATTACCGTGTTTTTTATGCTGTCGCGCTGGGCATAATGAGGGGAATTATTGCTAGGCATAATTTAGTGGCCTTTGATGGTTGAGACAGAATCGCAAAATGAGTAGAGAACCCCGCAAAAACTATTCGGGTACACTTCGATGTCACATGATAGGGACAGGCTCACGTTTGAAGCTCTTGCNGAGTAACAATGGTGCGCGACGCGACAGCTGCATAAATATTTTTCCACGTGTTACCACACATTACACCGAAATCGCCTGAAAGAATCAAGAGTTGTCAGGATTTGTCGAGTTCAGGATCGTTATAGCAGCAGCTGTTGTAGTTTTGTGACGATAGGCTTGAGTAAATTTAAATGCAATACCGGTTCAAATGCTATATCGATGTGAGAAGGCATTTTGAAAAAAAAATGAAAAATGCAAAACGCTGTTACCGATTTAGCAAAGTGTAATTGAATTGAGGAACATTTCATAGGAAGATCGCACGCATAGCTTGTTTCGAGGAACATCACGTATATGGCACACATAGTAATTAACTTGTTGTTGCTGTAGTTTCGTGCCGATAGGTTTGAATGAACTCAAGTGCAGTATAGGTTCTAGAACTAGTGGTACAAATTTTGATGGGAAAAAACTTTTGTGAGTTTGTGAAAGACTTTTAGCATAGAATAGGAATGGCAAAGAAATACAACGAGTAGAGCATTTATAGTATATGGTGTAATGCATGTTAGCGTAAATCCTACGGTGAGATCAGCAAGCTAGGGTGAGAATCACTGTTTGAAAATCGGCAATATGCACAGACTCGTGTTTAATGTTCCTCTTTTGTGGAGAACTTGCAACGTCGAAGAAATCTCCCGCATTTCCCTCCAACAGCCATGAGTCAGGCTTCGTGTCGAAGTCTTCAGCAGTATTCAGTAAATGCTTCTAAATGCACGTGCATGCTCCTTTTTCCTTCGATCAGCCGAAAACTTAGTGAGGAAATTTGAGAACGTGACCACGCAAAAACGGTGGCAACTGTAATGGTAGATTGCTCGGGCTGAACGTCTCTTCGTTCTCCTCTCTAGTAGGAGCCTTCGAAACCTCAGGTTAGGGTTCATTTTATTAATACTATCTGGGTAGGCACTTTCAAGGCTACCGTAAGCTCAAGTTTGCCCACTAACTTATGAATTTTTTTGCATCAGCCGATCCAGCTGGATCTCCTCATTCAGAAAAACATATTACTTTCCTGAGGTGGTGTAGCCATTTTTTGGAGATATATCCCAACTTAATAGCGCAGTCGCGCCCATTCATACAAATCGATCACTATAGAGCAATAGGCGCATGCGATTTTCCAGCTAACCATCTTGTTTAGGAGAAATTCATCAAAATGGGAAAAACCGTTAATCTCAACAAAATCGTTAATCTCATTTGAGATATATTTGGATAACATATTCTGAAAGGTTCTGAAGGATCTTTCGATTGCTCCATGACCTGCTGAGTGATATGGTGTTGAGTATCTCTTACTAATGTATAAAAGGTTGCAAAATTCTCTGAAAAGCTGATTGGGCGAGCCGTAAATTAGGACACATTTATACAGCAATGCTTTTGCTAGCGTCGAGGCCCTGGCGTCTGGCACTGGTATACGTGTAACATACTTACTGAATAGACAGATTATTTTCAATATATATTTGTTGTTGTTTGCAGTAGTTTTGAATAGTCCACAGAGATCTAGTCCAATACTATTCATGATAGCCATACTAGTGACAGGGTTTAGTGGTATCTTAGGGTATGGCTTGGGGTCATGCCGCATCTGGCATGTGGGGCAACTTTTTGTCCAACGATGCAAGTCTGAGTACTTAGTATCCCAGTAGTAATTTTGTGTCTTTCGAAATACCAGCTGAAGGTGATAGGTGAAAGTAATCGAAGATCAGAGGTCGAATAGCAACCAGTATTACTAGAAGGCATTCTTCTCTCGTTCGATGCTTCTGATTGTCGCTGTTAAGGTGGAATCGTGGACCGCCATTAAACGACGATTTTGCACGTATTCGGAGAAATAACTGATCTTTTGAAATAGCTTATTTAGTGTACTGAAATCGCAACGCTGATTTCAGTACACTAAATCTACATTCATTGATCTTGATATTACTTTGGCAGTATCAGGATAGCAATCTTGAAACTGACGCTGTTCTCAAATTTGTACAGAAACATTGCGATTTTTTCAAACCATCATATTTTCCAGATTATCTAATTACAAAGAAAATGTTTTACTTGATTAATTCGTTCAATCTTCTTCGTCGTTTCTCATATTTTACGTATCTAAATAACAGAGCACGACAAGTTGGCCAAAAATAACATGCATGGATTGCAGAGATCCTCTTCTATCTAATATTACCAAGAAATGTTCATGTTCATGAGCAAAGCTGAATAGCACGGTCCCCTGAATATTGTACTCGACACATGATGGTGATCAACATTAAGTGACATACCTCCCAAAAGTAAAAAGATCTGATAATAATGGGACATGACCAGTCGTCTAGAAATAAACTTTTTTGGGAGCCAAGGCCCTCTCCTATCCGATGGCACCAAAGAATGTGCATCTTCCTGAATAAACCCCATAAACAGGGCACCCCAAAAATATTCGTTTCTCGTCTTATTTCGTCACCTGTGATTGATTCTCGTTCACTCTCTTTGGCTTAATAGACGAGAAATTCGACATTCTCTATCTCGTCTCGACTCATTAACTTCTCGTTTAGTCATTGCCCACCCATACTTATTAATTACACACTAATGTAGCCCTTGGCCATACCATCATATTGATGCGATATTCGCACGTATTTGATTCTCTAAGTTCAAAAAACTGCTGAGACTTGAATTACAAAAGCATTTACATTCATTAAACAGGATAACACAGGAAATAATTGGAAAGAATCAACGAAAAAGGCAAGAAATCATATGATACGGAATGGAATGTCTGTTGAGTGCAATTAAAGAAAACAAAAAATAAAAATAACAATCAAATGAAATCATTTTGCAAATCATCGCCAGTGAGCATCAGTTAAGTCGTAAAAATAAAGCAAAAATCATTAAATTACAAAAAATATCCCGTAACAATGCAAGAAGTATTCGACACGACACAATCGGTAACGTATGTTCAATGCTTACAAACCCGGAACGGAAAAATGCGCGGATAAACAATCAAATATGAAACGAGAGACAAAATAAGTCGATGGATAACAATTCATTTATACAAACGCATTCTTCGTTCGAGACAAACATCGAAAACACAGTTCTGTGCGAACCCTTTCAACAAATTCGAATTCGAATTATTGCTCTTCAAGATAATTTTCAGCATAAGAGAACGCTCCATAAAATCGAGTCATCGCTGATACGACTAGTGATGCAACAAACAAATTGTTTACAATCAGATGTTAAGAATGAAACAAAATAATGAAAATATTCGATGCCACAAAAAAATAAAGCGTGAGATATATTTCAATAACGAACTCGATATGAATGAGTCAAATTTCTTGTTCGACAAGAAACGTAAAAAAAGACGATAAAATGAATAATCGAGTGGGAATGTGTATTATATCGACGATAACATAATATCGCATGAACGGTAATTGATGGATTATTTTTCAGATAACTCAACCTGCTCATATTCAGTCCGATCTGATGGACGCCAACGTCTCGAAACACCTAATGCTCTTTCACGATTCAGTGTTGTATCCATATACTCCTTCAAAAAATTATAATATCACATTACCAGATTCTTTCTGTTTGATGCTTTCAATTGTAAAAGATGGATTGCTATATAGTTCAAACACAACAACAAAAGCAGGTAACATCATCAATCAATAGAAACACAACCTTGAAATGTACATCTGCATAATCAGATGACCCGCAACTTCTATTAACGTTATCATTGTCGAGTGCGAAACACACAAACAATGTATCGATAACCATTTCGATGACTGATAAGAAGCATGATGCTGAAATATAGGCAGCTATACCCACTAGAGCCGCCTCAACCATCCAGTAATTCAGCGCTAGTTGAAACTGAAAGTAAATCATGTCCATCAGTTTAATTGCAGCTTCATCCACTCTCAAGTTGCTTCAATTCAATGAAACATGCGATGATTTTCAGTGGACAATTCGGTGACAAAAAAATTCGCACAAATATAAGTGCGAACAACTTTCACTCATATTCCCATGTATCATAATTTTCGCTCATTTTGATCAAACGATTTTCGATCTCATAAAGTTCCCGCACAAATTATCCAGAGAAACAACAGCAGAAAGTGCGTCAAAAAGTTTTTAAATCGTGAATGCAATTCAAAATGCATACGACATGTTATTGGAACACAGCATGTACCAAACTGAAAAAATCAATCAATTACAATAATTATGACTTAAAGTTATCTCAAGCGACAAACCTTGAATCTGAAGACAGCTACAGCGAAAGAGATAGTCGCGATCATGAGTTTCGCCAAGAACAAAACGAAATCACCAACGGTATTAATCGTAGCAACATCGACTGCGTTATCCAACAGTATGTTAACCGCCTACAATCATTAATGATAGGGTCATATTAAAAGTTGATACGCAATAATCAGAATATCCTTTTACCACCTCATACTCCACCCCAATGGTAGTAAAATGTAATTATATCAAACATCACACTCACCGATTTTGCGGCAGGACAGAAACTTTGACCATTTATTGCGATGACTGTATATGCGTTATGATGAAGATATCTCAGACAACTCTCCACACAACTCAGCAGTACAATCATACACCGTAGAATGTATTTTGCCATAAAACCTTCTGACTGTTTCAACCTATAACAATAACGAAACAATCATTCAGGTCACACTGTTCCACACATACTAACAATGAAGTTGTTATATTTTGTCAAAACTAGGTAAATTATCCACAGCAGTATAAAGGATAGGAGTTTTAAACAATTGAAAACGGCTGAAAAACAAACAATGTTCAAAAATTCAATTTACTGACAGATCAAGTCCACTCAGAAGAAAAAGCATGATAGATTGAAAAGAACGAAAAAGAAATGATCATCTTACTTCGTGTGGATATACATCAATATGTAGCGTGGTAATTTGACTAAAGTTATAACAAAGGAGCCCAATGCCACCGAACCAAGATGATAAGCGATCAAATTCGCTAACGAATTACACAACGGAGATGCGGTATGACTAAATTATGAAGAATATCAGAAATGGAATTACACATTAAGTTAACTGTTCTATGCTTGTTGTCCCACCTAAAACTGTGATCTTTGAAGATCTTTCCGCAAAATACCAATGAATTCTCACTATCTTGTGCACTCTTAAATGTGCATATGATGAAACTGTGAAGAATTAGCATTCCTTGTCTTAAATTGTAAACATAAAATGCCGATGATATCATCACGAAATATAATCTTAACCTCATGTCACCATTCAGCACAAGCAATCACCAAACGCATAAAAATAAATAATAACAATTAACGAAACATAATATGGACGACTAAAATTAAATTATATTTCCCAAGTCTTCGTATGACCCAAAAATTTCTTCGAACTAAAAATTCAGAATGCAAAGAAAGGAAAAACATAAACTTTCTCGAAGAACTGGCATGCAACCAAAAAGCAAAAAGAATAAAAAAGCGAACATAAAGACCGCTCGTATAAAAGGATACAAACCGCTTAAAGTACCACATAGCCACTGCACCAGCTACCACCATACGATGACAAGCAAAAATGAATTCGGATATCCAAATTAAACCAACAAAATGATACCATCCCATATATCTGATTCGGTCGGTAACGTTAAAGGTTACCACGTCAACTATTTCACCATTCGAACGATTTAACGACGCCGATTCTGGTGGAGCTAGAAAGGTTCGAGGCATGCTCATAAGTGAATAAACGAATGCATTACAATCGCATGTAACCCAAATGAATCAAGCGAGAACTACTGATCGATAAACGAAAATGATGAGTGCATAGTTAATTTTGATCACATTCAAAAGTTACAGTGACTTGTTACATCACACATCATAACAGCCCTCATACAGACACGTCACACTTGTATGCATTTTTAAAGAACTTGAAAACAAATCACTACAAACAAATGATAGAAATTCGAATACACCAGTGATGACCGACCGAAACTAATTGAAAAATAATGGACGGCACTATTAATGAGCAAAACCAAAGCAAAACGAAGCATTTGAAATGAAAATTCAACTGAATATCACTAAACAAATAGTTGCAGATCACACAATATACGCTGTAACATAAAGAACGTCTTTTTGCTTGCAACCGAATAGCAGTGAAAACATGAAGAAGAAACTGATGAGCAATCCATTTGAAATGAATGTTAACAAAACTCGCAACTCAAACTAATCTAGTTACTAAGACATACATAGCTGAATTACGAATATTGTCTAAGAAATTTTTACACAACTTGTCGAATAGAAATTTTGCCAAGATTCCCTAAACAGCGCAGAGCAATACTGGTTCCAAAATTGCTTGCGCTCTGCGAAAATGCTGTCTCGAAAATTCAGCAAACAGTTAAAGTAAAATATACATGCCATTCACGCGCCTCAGAAGAAATGCTTGTCAGTAAAAACACTGGACATATTTGTTTCGCATTCGAAGAAATGTAATGAAATTGTAAAGGTCGAAACAAACCGGACGTATAAAGTTGTAGAGCAATGAAAATCCAATAAATGATGAACGCGACCAGAATGCAACAAGTAACAAGTGGCTGTAATAACAGACAGGGCATAGCGGCCAATGCACGTCCCGCTTCACGGAATAAATCTACGACGAGTGCACCACGTGGCCATACACACCATACGGCGACCAACAACAATATCTGCAAAGTTCGACCATTTGTTCAATGCATCCATCTTTTCCGTGAGATCAAAAACTATGAAATGACAAAGATCAACAGTTCCTTTTAATTAGACGATATAGTAATTAAAGCTTACACTAATCTTGTCTCAACAACCCTTGAATTCCCACAAAAAAACTATCTGTTATTTCAACAGCACATAACTTACAAGCCCAAATGAATGAAACACACATTTTCTGGAAATCGAATGAATTTTTTAATAAACAATCAATCAGTTTACCGCAATAAGAGACATCGATGAAGCGCATATAATCAATGTGTTCTGACTCAGTTCAGGTAATGCCATCATTAAAGCCTGCGGTGCATCGCTTGTGGTCTCTATCGATGATGTTATGTTACGGCTATACGCCGTATACCAACCATACCAAAGAATTGATGCGAAGCCTTAATTATGCCAAATTATACTTTATGCGATACTTATCGAGACTCATTACCAGCAACATTATTATGATTATCATCATCGTTAAGGCTCAAATTTTACCGCCAACTGGGTTCATGAATAAATCAAAACAGATGAAATAATTCCGCAAGGTTATTCCTACTCAGAATATGAATAATCAATTTTTTTTCCGAGCGCTCGACCAATTCAACTGTTTGCTGTTTGAATGGCGGGGAAATCAATGAAACGAGCGATCACTTACCACTTGCCATGAGAATTACCATTACGTAGATGAAGTAAACAATGACTGGTGCCAAGAAGCGAATCATGAAAACGCCAATCAGCGATAATCCTAAATCAAGCTCATTAACACTATCAACATACAGTGAAAAGATGATAACGAAAACAACTCACCGACTGAAAGAAGACAAAGAGCACCAATTTCATTCCTAACAAAAATCAACTCAGCGCTCACTCCACGAATCCAATCTTGATCACGTACGAACTCGTGTAGCGAAGAGAGTGCATCAACCGCTATTGAAACGAAATCATTTGGTATACATCTTGATAGTATTGAGCCATCACTAAACTTGTTTGTAAAAAATCCACTGAATCTAACATGACTAAATACTAATCATAATGAGCGAACATCAAATAAGAATCGAAACAACGAAAGAACCTCTCGTAAATGGTTCCAATCGGACAATAACGTGTAAGCATTTCACCGTCACGACCTTGATCGGGTGAGCAATACGAATAATTTGTTTGGATATGAAACGATGCAAAATCATTGGTCACTGTACGATTCGGACAATGCTTCACGCAAATCCATACCGAGTTGAATGGGTGACGAACATCCAGTGGGAACAGAAACCTTTAACAGAACAACAGATGAAGAAAATAATTAATTTAAATTTATTCGGTTAATAATTGAAATTTTTTGAATCAATTCTCAAACAAACACCACAATTTAAAAAGACAGCTGTCAAAACTCACTTCTTGTCTGTCATATCTTGCCCGGAAAGAGGAAAATGCACAGGATCCGTGGTAGAATTTGCAAAACGTACCAACGGCAAATTTTTACGGCCACAGGTATTACCAAAACTATCCAAGCCATTCACAATACGGAACGCATTGCCGCGCAAATAAGCATACGCTGCAACTAGTGCCTACAAAAAAGTTACAGCCATAAAAGTAAAGTATAAAACTTCGTCTCAACATCAAAGAATTTCATTCGAACAATAGCGATCTCTGTTAGACTTCCACCACACGACAAATATTCATCTCCACAAACAAGCACGATACGCCTTATGAACACAAATAATTAATGAACATATCATCTTACCATTCCACACCAAAATATGAAAAAGCATGTTAACGGCAAAAGATCGGTACACTGCCGAGACTTTAATTGACGATGCGTCACTTTACCACCGTTCCTTTTCTAAACCAAAACATTTGCTTCATTAATGAGCAATCTGCTTAATACGATCATGTTGAACATTAAGACAAATAATACGGCGTGAGTCGATGAATGAAACAAATAAATGAAGATTTCGTTCACTGTAATTTTCACCTTCTAAACTGTCTCGATAAGTGCACTAATAGTTGTCGAAAATACTAACTATAAAAGTGAAATCTGCTTCTCAAGATCAAAACAAGTTGATGTGCGACCGATTTTAAAAAAAATATTTACTAAAAAATAATAAATCTATTACCAATTTAAAACCAAATCAAACTCACCTCATTCGTTCCATTTTCATTGCAACAACAACTAAAAAAACAACCCATTTCGTTAATGCATCGACAACTGCCCGCAGTGCACGATTCTGAATAGTGAAATTATAAATTGGAGTACATAAAATACTTTAATTACTATTTCAGTGAACAATTTACGCGTTACAATAGCAATTTAAATACCCATTTGAAAAACGAATCAATCGTCAACTAGTGATTCAGAAAAGCTTGGAGAATGACCAATTTGTGATCAGGAATACTTTGGTATCAATTGTATGCAAAGTCGCTCGTGCAGATAGGTCGAGGTGGGCGCGGACACTGGTTCCTAGGAGGCTGGGTGGTTATTTAATATGCGCAGGGATTTGCTGGGAGGGGAGTAGAGGATGGATGAAGATCGTCAAAGGGGGAGATGGGGTTTTCGGGGTACAAGCGTTTCCTGGAGGAGAAGGTCTTCCTGAAGAATAAGGGGTTTCCCAGGGGGAGTGTGGTTTTCTGAGGACAGCAGTTTTCTTGAGGGAGACTGGCTTTCCTTGAAGAAAGAAGCTCCTCGCAAGGGAGCGGCTATCCAGAAGGCAGAAGGCTCCCTGGGAAAAAAAAGGACTCTCCGGGAGTAACAAGAGTTGCACGAGAGAGAGAGAGAGAACAGACCTCTAATTAGGTCTGCTGAGCAAACGTACAACTGATATGACTGACAAGTGAATTCGCTTAAATAATTCTTCATTCGTATGCGTCATGATGCCTCAGTAATGAAAGATCGAACACATATATGTCGCATCATATATCACCCTATCATGAAGATTTATTAATTAATTTATCCAATGAATAATTACGGGCTTACGCCTTTCTGTTATTACCAATATTACATTCTTCCTTCCTTGAAATCCTTCCTTCGTTGCAGCTAACGACATTAACGTAGGTAATCATCCGCGTCATGAAAGTCTAACTTTGATCATTGATTTGGTGAGCGTAGAGATGTAGTGCCACTCTCCCATATTGCCCAATGATGTCAAGGGAGAGGGACTCAAAATGAACGCTTCGATTCATCGAGCGAACATGCGTTCTACGACCGTTCAAAGTAGCTGTTTGAAACAGCTAACAATAACAAGCCAGTAATCATTCGCAATCAAACATGAAGAAAGAGTTGTAACTGAAGATCCATAGCGATCGACACATTAAGCATTCCACAACCAAGCAATGATAAATGCTCGTTACCATAAATACTTTGCATAGTTTAACATAGCCGAATATCAATACAGTAATTAATCATGACAATGATAAACATTTTGCCGATCGGCCAGAGCGACCGCTCAGTGCCCGAATGATGAATAAGAAAAGGACCATAGCAGGTCCAGTAAATTAATATCATTAATATTCCAAATATTTCTATTTCCATCACCAAGATATCTAATCTAATGCAACATGTATAATGATGCGCATTATTACGGGATCTGATATAAAGTGTAGAATGATCTTAATCGATCGAACAACCGCTGCAAACCAATGAGCTTATAGCTAGTGTTGTGCGGGGAGTCCCCGTCTCAGGCCTCCCCGTCCCCGTCCCCGACATCTCCAGAATTGTCGGCTCTCCCCGAAATGTCGGGGAGAGTCCCCGAAATTTCGGGGAGTGTCCCCGAAACTCCCCGAAAAAAAATCGAATTCGAATCTACCGCGACTTTGCGAGCGATTTGATGCTGATTATTCAATTATTGCATTTTGGCGTTTACGGCCTCACTACCAAGTAGTGTTGTGCGGGGAGTCCCCGTCCGCGACGATTTTCGAGCGGCGGCCATTTTCGGGGACTGTCCCCGTCCCCGGCCCATTTTGCTGTCCCCGCATAACACTACTTATAGCTAGGCTTCATCAATAGTCTCAAAAATATGTAACCTCTTTTACGTTGTTTATTTACGTTCAAGATCAGGATTTATTGAAACTTTTGGAGCGAGTTATAACGAATTTGCGCCATGCGAATATTGCTTTAACGAAAATCCACTCAGACTTTTACGGTACGTCATAATCCAATCAGTCAAAAACGAAATAGATGCAGCAAGACGGAATGGTAATATGAACCATAAGTGATATGTAACTGATAAAATTTCAAGCAAATTTGGCTATTTACTAACAAAATAACGGTGACTGTTTCAATCTTATCATTCTTCTCATATATTTAATAGTTCAATCCAAACATTCGCAACCGTCAATCAAACATTCAATTCCGCAACAATGTAGCTGTAACAAAATGAAAATCAAGAATTCATTAATCTATGCATCGTGGATACGCGTCGGCCTTCTGATAAGCAAGAGCTATGTTCGTAAGCGCACACTGTGGTGTTTTTACGCTCTCCAATCTTGCTCTCTTTCTTAGGGAAAAAGCGAAAGAAACGAAGGGATTGAAAGAGTTGAAATAATTTTTTGTAAGATGGAGAACATAGAGGAAAAAAGGATGCATCATTAGGAGGTACCTAAAATGACCACTCTAAATTAGTTCTGCTCTAAACTAACAAAAAGCTGAATTTATTTAGACTTACAGTTCGAAAATCTTCCCTGGAAGTTATTAATTACTACTTTCAGTGAGACGGAACATCTAATATGTTCACGTTTGACTTGCAGTTAGATATGGATATCCCATAACGACACAGATAGCTCATTCTTGAACCAGTAATAGATCCAGAAAAACGGAATAGTAACATGAATACAATGCAAAGAAAGCATCTCCCGTTCATTTACATCAAATTATATCATTTCCATGTCTAGTCGAATATATACGACATTCGATCCGACACAGATAAGCTTAATTAGGTTATCACTTAAGGAATTCGCTTCAATAACAGGACAAGCTCACATCAGTTATTCGTTGTCAGGTGCACAATTAAAAAAATTAAACCCAGTCGCATTCGATTCCTTTCAACATTGTTAGAATTTATCTAAACTGAGTCGAATTTCTCCTTCCAACTTCTCATGTTATCGATAGCAAGCTTTTTGAGTGATAATTTCTTTGACTAAAATACCAACTGCTGTAGTTGCTAGCAAATTCGAATAAATATTGCTGACAGTACGAGACTGTGTATCTTTGAAATGTCATCATAAAAAATGATATAATGCGAAAATTTCTCATTCATTGATGGTATGAGAACAAGAAAACATGATCACCGCTATCGGATGTGGTGCATCGTTTTGATCTTGATAACACCCTCGTCTATGTCTTTTGCTGCTGAAAGCAGTTTAACATATTCCAACAGAAAACAGTAACCCTAGATCGGCGACTTTTACATTGCTTATTAAGAATGTTTTACATTGCAGAATTTTGTTCGATTCACTATTTCCCATCATGTTTGTATCATGGATGCGAATGGCTTTAAGGAAAAACATTATTGTTATGAATTACTCTTTAGGATCTTATATCATCCTCATGTGATAGGTTTTCATTGTTTCTTACTTTTGAATAAACGTGTAAATGATATATGACGATATGGTTGATATTATCGATAATTAGGAGATTAAAAGGTAAATAAGAATGTAGAGGCAAAAAAGGTAAAAAATGAAGAGGTAAAAGTAAAAGCGAAGGAAAGATGGAGGAGCTGTTATGAATGTGTGTTAATCATATGAATCAATAAATAGATAAATGCATAAATAAATATTTAAATAAATAAACGAATATCAGCAAGTAGGTATGAAACGATGTAAACACACATAATACCCGTAAGAGGTGAAGTACCGCTTCAGAAACAATTCAGTAGAGACGTTACTCTCACATTACTTCTCAAACATTTATTATATCTTTTAAGCAATCATACATTACACTGACAGAACATCGAATATATTGGAGAATTTCATCGAGTATATATTCGTTTTCAGTTTGAATCAACACATGAAATCATCTTTACTGCCCGAAGTACCTTTATCGAATCCCTGAAGCGTAATCATTTCATTATTTCATAGGAAAATTATGCTAATGAACACAGTGCCAAGCTTGTGCACTGATAATTTGTCCTGTCTGCACCTATCAATCAACTTCTAAACTGACATACTTAGCGATCATAATCAGTTTTTGAGCCTAATCATTTGAAAATATTTGGATGCACTCATGATATTTTCATTTCCTTTTTTACATGCATCAAAAGCATTATAAGGTTCACGCATCAGAATAATTGTTATGAAAATTTTTGTCGAGAAAAGTCCACTTCAAAAATCTTCAGCTGCTTTTGCATTCCAATTGAACGAAGATAGAAATACGCATTATCGTTGAAGAACAGAAAAACGAATCAATCGAATTTAATTTTAATCTTTTAGAACGTAAATTCAATTTTTTTAAAGAATTTTTTAAGGATTTGCTCATAAATGCTTCATACGGGATACCAAATTGATATCAAGCCCACTTTGTCGAGGCTAGCGCGAAAAGCCGGCATAAAAATGAATAAAAATGATGATTGAATTGAAAGAAGATGGTACTTAAATAAAAATTGAATAATTATACAATGGGCAGATAGTGTACTGGTGTAAAGATGGGCTTTGAGGATGCGATCTGTTCAGAAGGCGTGAGTTCGATTCCGCGTCGGTTGAAAATCCTTGACGAATTTCGATATCATTGTTGAAAGGAATAAAGAAGAAACAAACTATAGACAAAATGAAGAGGGCTCAGTTGCGGCAAACTTAATCAGTAGCTTTGAAGAAATTTCGAACATTGGATTTGATTAAACAGCTTAATTGTAGATGAGATTAGTTTAGAAAAACATATAATTTTATTGAAATCGGATAGGTGATTCAAATCAACAGTGATTTTTACTGAAGGAAAAAGAAGTGGAAGATCCGTAAATTTCAATATTATAAGTTCTCTGACCGTTATTCTCAAGAAATACCTCTTAAAATTTTCGTATCACTGAAAAAATGAAGGTTTATTCTAGAGGAAAGTTGCATCATTGGAAACTATCACTGGAATGGAAATGATTCTATTGGTTCAATTTATCAAGTATTGTATCAAGTTTCCTTAATTTATCTCACCATTTTTCAATCCGATGCGGTGATGTTCTGTTCATCTTGAATATTGAATGAATATTAATGATGAATATTAAATAGTTCCTGCTTTGCTGAGTTGAATCTACGAACTTCAAAGTGATTTTCTTCATCAGATCTAACCAAAATCGATAATTTCAAAAGAATAGAAGATATGAGGTCAGATGGAATAACTGTGACAAGAAATGCAAGTGAGATTAATTGAAAGCAGTTTAAAAGTGTGATAAATTGTGTAGGTATTATAACCATGTACTAAAAATGAGATGTCTATCAATCATTCTATCATATTTGTTAATTGCTCTGATGAGTAAAAGACAAAAGAAGATGATTGATCCGTGAAGCGATAATGATTATTTGCGTGAGCGAGGAGGATTCGAAGCAAGTAGGTAAATACAGTAGTTGTTGGTTGATCGGTTAGGAAGAAATGCAAACCAATTGCAAAGTATTTAGTTATGTAGTGCTTAACACACTACTTAACGCTATTCAACTTTCATATAACAATTGTGATGGTGTTTGCATACAGATAGATATACCATCTTGATGTTCGTTCAACTTCTTATTTCTAAGCAATCATTCCCTTTTATCCTACTTATTTAGCCTCTCTATCTTGTCCTCTTATTATTGTTATTATTAGCGTCATTATTCATGATTGTTGTTTATTGTACCGTTTCTACCGTTGCAACCAGTTATCCAGCTCAATTTAGTCGCATTTATTGTTATTAGATATCCATTTTATGTGCATCTTAAGCATAATACCTAACAATAACTTGCTTCTATCTCTTCGTTCTGTCCTATTCATTTCAATTCTAATAAGTGTATCGCTGAAAACTCAATACACATCAATCATCATTTTCAATGTTATGCTCTCAGAAATGTCGTTTACCGTTCCTTTTTTTGGGCTGGATATCACTTAGAAAGATGGCTCTTCTTTCAGTTCATTTATTTACGCATTGAACTATCACAATTGCATCACTTGAACCAGATAATTATTTCATTAAAATATGCAAAAAACAACGAGAGGAATTGACACTGTTGCATAGCTATTCAGTTTTACATCCATTTTGACATGAATACGTAGACTGCTGTGATTTATAAATACAACATATTTTCATTGTTACAAAATTCAGTAATGCAATATTCAGCACAAGAAACTAATTTATTTACAAATAATCAGCAGTCGATTACTGCACACTAACTGAGCACAATAACAAAACATCTAAAACGAAAGCAACAGAGATCATATTTCATAAGCAATAATACCGTAATCATAAGAACTCTAATGATGCAGTCAAAGACTGTGTTTACTGATGCTTTTTAAAAATTTTCGCACTCTCTCATTATCCAGTTCTAAATGCAATGAGTTTAGAATTGAGCAGCAAACTACGTCAACAAACATATCCCCGTGCTGTGATCAGTTTGGCTGTTGATGGCTGATGTTGTCGACAGCTAGCGAATACTGGATTTATGCACTTTCAATCAAATATGGTAACTATTTTACCACATTATTTATGCACAGTGTCAATATTATTATATATCAAGCGTAATGTAGTATGGGATTCAAAAACAAAAAAAAAAAAGAACAACAAAGCCTTCTAATATATTTCTCATAAAATTGATATAATTTGATCACATATGCAAAAGCGATCTTTTTTTACCGCCTAATTAATAGGTTATAAATTGTAATCAAATTATTTGGTCTTTGAAGGCTTCCCTATTGAAAGGCTTCTTGATGACCATAATTTATTAGGTAATTATCCCAAAAAGATCGGAAACTTCTATTTTTCATTTCAACAGATCTCGCATTCAAAAATATGGGAAGCTTACAAAGGAATAGGGTATTTATAGAGCACAGTACCATTCAAGTTACAGTAAAAATGAACAAATTTTATATGTAAGCGGATTTGAATGATCGATACAAACGAAGAGAATTTCTTTTGAGGGCATCAATTAGATATGTAATTTGGATATGTCTTCGAAAAATAATTCATCGAGCACTGATAGTATAATGAGCTTACTCGTTGAAATGTTGTATATTCCACATAATTTATTCAAATAAAGGATCAATTTGAGGAGACGTTCGTTATTCAATGAGCCAATCAAATAATGTGTTTTAAAATGATAGGTTAGATGATGGGAATAAAATGAAATAACGGTTTGAGAATCACATCCAATAACATTCATAAATGACTAATCATACATACTAAAACATCTTAGTACCAATAATTTTATATCATCTATACAATGTATCTACCACACATAATAACGTATTTCATATTGCATAATTTCATATTGCACAACCATACTGAATTTTATTGAATTTCATCTCTATTTCAACAATTCACCAAACAATATTCAGTTGCCAGGATTGCTTGATTTTTTGGATTCTCTTTTTTATTTACTTCTTCAAATGACGATTAGAAAACAGAACTCTTCTAAACCAATTAATTAGCTCACTAATGGACATATCATATTGATCTCGTTTCAATGATCGTTCGACCCCGTGATTCAAACAGAAATACGTTATTGATCAATTGTTATCATATTTATTATTGCATTCCTTTTGGCATCAAACCTTTTCTTTCTCTTGTTCATCATCTTTTTTTTCATCACTTTTCAATAAAAACAGTGCACAGTAGAGAAGGAGAACTGAATGTTTTGCATCGATACGATAGCTGGGCAAATTAATAATTATTCGTTGAAAATTCATTGTTCAATGAGATTTTACTCTTAATAAGACTAGATACAAAAAAAAACATCATGAGAGATTATTATCTGATTCAACGGAATCCAATGGACTGGTAGACTGCGGGTATGCTGTTTTGTTGAATGCCAACAAATTTCTTGTAGAGATTTACACATATATATATATATATATATATATATATATATATATATAT